TTTACCATTGTCTGCCCTTCAGGATGGGATGCAAAAAATAAAGCTTATAGCAAGAAATTTGGAGGCAGTAGTTGAGTTTGTTGGGGTTCTTTTTAATATTTTCAAAGCATTTTGCAGCCTTTTAAAATGTGGTTTGAGTCTTTTAAAGTTATTGTTTTGATCTGGGGGCTTTGTTCCTGATCTTTATGAATACTCTGACTCCTGGCTTCTTTCTTACAGAGTTGAGAAATGTGATTAATTTATACTACAGTGTCGTGTAATATAGAATGGCTGTTGTGTTTTTCTTTCTTTGTAGATGTGTTTATTAGATTGCTTTGACAGCATTTCATACAGTTTTTACCATGTGAGATGCTACTGTGTATCTATAGGTGAAGACGCTGATCACTGAATTCAGCAGACCTTTGATAATGTTTTTGGCAGTGGGATTCTGCACACTCCTGTTCAGAGATGAACTGCTAAGATGCCTTTTTATTTGTCCTAAAGGAAGAGGAAATAATTAGGAAACTAATGAGCTATACATGCAAAAGTGTATTTAAGTATTTTTCCATAGTAAAAATTATTCGGGTGATACAGCTTATTGAACTGCAATCAGCTGAAGCAGTAGGAATGAAGCTAGTGAATTGTTTAATGTGTCATTGCCCCCGTCCCCCTCCTGTGACAAATCTGAAATATATGGAACCTTATCTCAGTTACTGTAATCCTTTACAATAAAAAAAAATAGTACTTTCTGATTCCTGATTTTAGATGCATTCCCTCTAGAAAACATACTGTATATGAGTTTCCCTAGCTAAGATAGTGAAAGACGTTTGTGTGTTTATAGTGAGTTTTTTATTTAGTTAAATTAGTTTGAATTAAAACATAATTAAAAGCCAGTTGATGTTTGTGTCAAGCTGCCTATTTTTTCTTTCGGCTTGATTTTTTTTTTTTAATTATGTTTAGCCTAATTAGCATACTTTAATAATCTAGAGTGTTGCATTCTATGGAGTTGTTGTAAAGGAGGTGTTTTTCTGTCTCAGATTATTAAATGCATAATCTGTTAAATGCATTATTTTGCTCTGACATTGGAAAACCAAAAAAACAAGAATCAAATCAGTTGCTCCTGAATCTTATTTTAAACGTGTAGGTAGGAGGAATGGGACAGTTAGGGCACTTTTAAATCTTTCCAGTCGTTATGGTGTGCTTTGAGACATGAAATACAATGATTCCTTCTGTAAGATGTTTAAACAACACATACTTTATATACGACAACTAGAACTCGCTACAGGAATGATAGTGATTACAAATGTTGGCCTTAATTGTGATGATGCTTTAAAAAAGAAAAAAAACTCCACAGTATTTTTATTAAACGATCTCCAGTACCAGTGGATTCAGAAGCTGAACCAGTCTAGCACAGGCTAATATTTCCCTTTCTTTTATTCTAAATAAATAAAGGACCAAATGTTTAGACCCCAGTTCTGCAAACGCTTGCAGGCCTATTTAACAATTCGGAAGTGTTTGAAGAATCGCTCAGTACTTTTTTAAATATAACTCCTACCAAGTCAGGAGGGTTTTGCTGGGGTACAGAATTCATGTTTCTGCACTAAGTGACTTCGTATATCTAGCATTATGTTAAACAAGAGAATTGGTATTTTTAACTGTAATCCAGTAGTTCAGTATTATTCAAATATAGTTCAGGTTAGTTCTTTCTTGCGCTATTAAGAGATCTTTTAGTGTTTTATAAAGGGAGGGATAACACGAACAGCTAGTCCACACTAGTGGTATTTCTGTGGTACTCTTGAGACTACCTGTCCACCACGCTCAGGGGCATCAGTACTTTCTAAACAGGACGCAGATGATACGGCATGTAAAAGACATGCTTTTCCAAGCGCTTCAGAACCTGCGTATGGAAGGAATATAAACCCTTTTCTGTGGCTCATGCACTTGATTTTGCAGATTTTTTTTGACTTTGATAGGATTACTTACAGCATAAACATGCATCATAGTTGCATTACCCGTTTTAGTGACATCTTGAGATCTGTTTGATGTGTGTTAATTGCAAAGCCAGAAGCCTGATGGTAAAGGAAAAAAGAAACATTTTGAATCTAGTTTGGAGTAGGAAAACTGAAAGGGGATATGTTTGAGCGGCCTGTACAAAAATAATGACCTTTTTTAAGGCGGACAAAATGATGAAGAAAAATTCACTAGTTTTTAGTTACATGGACTACTCTGTAGTCATTCAACAGAGGAAATGTAAATCTGTGCACTGAGAACAGGGGACTTTATTTTTAAAATGTTGTGTATTTACCTGAGAGGACTAAAAGGATTTGCTTTTCAATGTTCTACTAAAAATTGCCAATATTACTTCTGATGCTGAATTTTTTTGATCACAACGGAATGTTAACCGTAACACCCTACGGAGCAAATTCTGCTAGCTTCACTCATGCAGAATTAAAAAAGAAAAGAAAACTAGAAAGATGACTTTTATGGGCAAGACTCTCCTCTTAACCTGGAGGACGCATTGTTTTGATAGAGTAGAGCAGCACTCTGAAATTTTGTTGGGAAAACGAGTCAGAATCAATGACTCCTATACAAGAAAAGTGTGCAAGCCGAAAGCAAGAAACATCTCCTGTGCAAAATAAAGACTTGAATTCCGGAGGTTCCACTTCCCCATTAAGGAATAGATCTGCCTGCCTTTATTTTGTGGCCAAATCCCTGGACCAACTGCTCTGGCAACTAAGTGCATTGTACAGCTTAGCACAGCGGTCAAAGAAAATTAATATTCCCTAAATCACTAGTTTCTAGCTAATGAGACATACTTTGCTGATGTGTCTTACTGGCATTAGTAGTGAGACACAGGGCAGTGACATAGAGAATAAGTGAATAAGCCTTGCTGGTCTGATATTAAAGTAAAGGAATAGCTGCTTTGAGTTGTATACCACTTATTCGAGGAAGAACAGAGGCTGCATCAAGAAATGAACTTTGACTCTTTCCTGAGGTCATAGGCACCTCAAGTGCAGATCTCGAGGATTTCTGGAGCGTAACTTAGGCTCCTTGCGCAGGTGGTGAAGTCTTGGGTTTTCAGCAAGTAGCGCTGCGATATCTCAGTGTCTTGTTATCGTTCCTTCAAAGACACATGCATGAGAGAAGGGTGCCAGTGTCTAACAATGCTTGTGAAAGTGATCAGCAATTTATTTAAAATAGAGGTGAATGTTGTGAAGGGGAAGAACCACCGTAAGTATGTAGTAGAAGTTCCTTAGAGATTTTTCATAACGTAGAGCCAAATTTGTATTTAAGATGTTGTCACTAAGGGTTTAAACACTGAAGCGCATGATGAATTAAAAAAATAAGAAGTCGACAGTCTTCTCCGTAATGTCTTGAGTGGCTGTCATCTGCGTTGTGCGTTTGTTTTTGTGGTAAGCTCCAGGGTCAGGCTAACTATTAAAGCTCAGCCTATTAGTATTATTGAGAAATGCCTATTCTTATTTTTCAACAGTTCTTTAACATGCAACTTTTTGTGTACTGTAGTGGTTGTCTCTGGCATGCCTGAACTCCAGGTATCCTATGTACTGTAGCAGTAGGTATTTGAGAGCCAGGGCTCTCTTTGCTATTTTCTCCAGACATCAGACAGTCCCTATAATAAACGCATGGTCCGTAGTCTGAGGATTTGTCTTCACTAGCAAATTCACCCAAGTTGCAATATAAACTCAGCTCCTTCATTCAGCTGCTAAGCCCCTTCGATCCCGTGGTTTTAATCTATTCCTTCAAGGCAGGTAGCACAACTGGAGGCGCAGGGCAGATGTTTCATAGACCTAAGTCATTTTGCATCACTTTAAATACAGTCATAAATACCATTAGAATGGCGCTTGACTTGTAGCAGAGAAGTCGTCTTCTGCAGCACTAACGTAGCTCTGTTGCAAGAACAGATACCGACCAAAGAACGTGAGCTGTAATACAGCTCCACAGTACTACTGCCAGGAGTGGGGTGAGTGTTGATTTTCCAGAGGCCTCTTGGAGACACAAAACTGTATTTTTATGCTTTGTAAAAATGTTTGCAATCTTTTTTAAAAGTTCTGTTTTATAAATAAATGAAAGTACATCACATACTAGCTGTATACAAAAAGTGTATTATCCAAAAAATATATGTATGTCTAGTATCTAGGGCACACACATTTTAAGTGGAAATTATCACAAGGCAGTTCACAGATTAAACAGCGGAGGGTTTTGCATTGACAGGAAGAAAACCGATCTCTCGCTACTGAAGCGATGCCCAGTAGACACAAAACTATTGGAAAGATTCATGAAAGAGGTTGCCTAGCTGTACCTAGTATCAGATGCTGGGAAGTTTTGTGTGCAGCTGGATGCAGCCCTCAGTGTGTTGAGTCAGTGAGATACAGCCTGTGCGTGCGCGTGTTAGGCTGAGAAATGCCACCTCTCTGCCTCTCTTCTTGGTGGAGCTGGCTCTTCCTGCCAGCCTGCATGGGCCGGGCAGCTGGCTCGAGCTTACAGACCCCGCTTCCATGCAGCCTCTGCCGGGGCAGGCTTGGGGCTGCCCCAAAAAATGTCTGAGTAACCAAGATTGCGCATTTGGTGCCCCTGCATACTGTACAAAAAGCACAGGCACCGGCCATCCGGTATTACTGTCAAGAGGCTTATTTTCTTCATACGGTTGTTTTCTCCTTGCAGGAGCTTGACAAGTGACCTGGCAAGAATACCCTTTAATCCAGCGAAGTTCTGTATGTTGGATGACTGTATTGGCTGGTAATTTGAGCCCCTGCCTGGGCTTGGCTCCTTTAGCTCAGGCCCCAGTCCTTCCCTTGACTTCAGTGGCCTTGAGGTCTAAACTTGTGTAATATTACCAAAGTAACACAAAGTACAGATGACTGTCCTTGTTTTCCTCAGTCTTAGGGGCTTGTTGAAAGCTCACTGGAGCAATGGGAATTTTGCTGTTGATTTTAGTAGGAATAAGGTTGCATAACTATTTAACCAGTTGGGAGCAGATGTATGCTAGCTATTGCATAATATAATTAACTGAGAGTGAACTGAATTGAAAATAGTCATTAGCTGAGACTTTACTCATCTGTTCTTCATTAGCAGTGCATGTTTTAATCTGCATTAAATAAATGTATTGTCTTCATAAATCTCTGATAAGACAAAATAAGACTATTAATTGTGGGCAGGTTGTCCAGAGTACACGTTGGGTGTATGGAGACTTCTTTAAACAGGAAGATAAATGAATGGAATAAACTCTTAGCAGAATGTTCTAATAAAGTCCCCTTTTACTAGAAAACCCATTGTTAAATCAAAATACACTGCTATATTTTTATTTGACTATTTGTTTCTGTCTGTTGGTATTTCATTAACTGTAATTGTAGAGGTTAAGAAGCTACACCCTTTGTTACCTACCCATCCTTCTTTTTTGGTCTTAGTTCAGTAACTCTTTTACATTCCGGTTGCAGTGGGTCTTGGTCATCATTGCAAATTAGAAACCTGAAAATTAATTCCCACGCTGGATCAAATCCATTTTCTATTAGTCTTCTGACAGTGGGCAGTATAAGATGCTTCGAAGAACAGTGTAAAATACCTTGTGATGGATAATTCTGAAATAAACTGCATGTAGGACAGTATTTTTCAGAAATAATTGGAGTTTAGCAAACATCAAAGCATGAGGTTTAATTAGTTCGTAGGGTCATGACATACCAGTGCATTTTGAAAATTACTTGATATATACGAAGCTTTTTGCTTTTCTTTGTGTATTTTTTTTATGTGCCAATTTCACTTCTGAGCTGTTTCAAACACACAGGTGCACAGAAGGTGACAAGACAGAAATAAAATTTCCTTGAAATATGAGCTGAGCATTATTCAAAATTCAGTATTAGCATTAGAGTGATGTCTCTATCAGCTAGAATGTCTCATTACACACGGAGGCTAGACCAGGGAAAGGTCTCTAAATCTCAGTAGGTTTCTCAGCGTTAGGTACTCTAATAGAATGGATGCTTGCATGTAGCCAGAGGAAAATACGTATTAGTAGTGTGTGTTTCGCATAGCTGGCTGTGCTGACTGCGGAGTCACTCATAAAGCATGCAAATCTCAAGGTTTGTATGCATGTCTCTTATGAAGCTATCGGTGACACTCCTCTGTTGTGCTCAGCTGCGTGGTGCTTTGGATACCCAGAAGCTTTGAAAAACAGCACTAACAGTCATTCTGTCAAATAATATATGTTACTGTGAAGCGTCTTTTGGACTAAACCTTACACAACAGACAGGACCATGACTTGTATAAGGCCTCACCCAGTGAAGGACTCAGAGTTTGCTTCCAAACAAAAAGTTTCTTTGTGACTTTCTACTGTTGTGAATAGTTATTTAAGTCCTGCTTTCCCAAAGGTAGCTATGCCTCAGTGACATTGTATGCAGACAGTTGGAGAAGATAAATTGCATATGTTAAGTGTGTGGGTTTTTGTGTGTGTGGGTTTTTTTTTTTTTAAATAGGAATTACTGCCTTTGACAAGGCAACTTCCCTGGTAACTCTTGAGAGAACTTACTCTGTAAAATGAATAGTTGTAAATAGCTCACTTTGGTTGTAAGTGAGGTCCTCAACTTTCAGGTGCTGTCTGTAACTCCCTACTTACTGCTGCATTTTTTCCATGATGGTAGTCACCATCAAGTCCTTGTCTATCAGCGTACTCGTTAGCACTTCTGTTCCTGTCCTATCTGGGCCTAGAAAGAATTAGTCTTTCACCCCATCTCACTGAAGGTGATTTCATCTAATTGCATATTCCAAGGACAATAAAACAAATCAGTACCAAGACTCTTCTGTATGGGGAGAGGATGTTTTGGCTTAGTCATTGTTTGGAGTATTTTATGAGGGGTGGGTGTTTGGGGACAGGGATGGAGAATAGGTTTTGTTACCTTTTCTCTTTGGTTTAGGGCTGATGCTCTGCTCTTTTTCTTTAGCTCAGTGAATCTTAGCTGCTTCTCTATATAGCTTTGCCAGTAACATAAGAGCACATCCCCTACCCAGACAGATAGCAGCCACTGCCCTGCAAGAATTTATCAGCCTCAGAAGAGGTACTGATCCCACATCTTTCAGTTCCTGGGGAAACGCTATACATACTTCCTTTTCTGCCTTAAGTTATGCTTTAAAATACACTTAACAATAAGGCCATTGCAACTACATTTTTGTGAATGGCCCAGCTGGGCCATGGGCTGAGAGCATACCTCAGTTTGACTTCACTTTCCCTTTGGCACCACACTGTCTAGTTTCTTTGTATCAAAGCAGCTTACTAAATTGTCCATGATTTAAAGCAGTCTCCACCTGGAACTATTAGGATGTACCCATGGGGTGCTGGTGCTTCCAGGAGGGTAGCTATTGAATAGGATGTTTTGTTTTGTATCATAGCTTTAGACGTAATACTTC